GTGTGTGTGTGTGTGTGTGTGTGTGTGTGTGTGTGTGTGTGTGTGTGTGTGTGTGTGTGTGTATAGCCCCCGCTGTCGCCCTTTACTCCAGGAGGCCTGTGAAGTAAGAATGTGTGGGAGGGATTCTGTGGGTTTACTGTAATATACAGCATGGTTTACAATGAGTCACAGACAGATGTCTGACCTTCACATTGTTTGATTAGTCACAAATGATTCGGTCATTGCTTCAACTGGACAATAAGCATCAAAACTGAATTTAGGATACGCATGTTGAGCCGTACAAGGATGATATGACTTGTCAAGCATGTTGGTTTAACTATACCTGGAGATCCAGCAACAGACTCAGCCCTACTGACCACAAAGGTACGAGACAGGGAGAGAGGAACTGCAGAGAAGAATAAAGAGTAGGAAGAAGAGGAAAGCATCAAAAAAAGTGGGAAACAAAACTACAAAGTGACTAAAAGGTAGAACTGAAGGGAAAAGGACTGAAAGATCAAGGATCAGAGAAAATCACTAAATATTACTTATTTTAATCTGAAAAAATAAGAAAAGATTCTCTTTTCCTCCATAATAAGGCACTCTTAGTATTACTGTAGGCCAAAGTTGTCACCACCAGAGGTCACCTATGTTCTGTGGCATTCCCCTAAACTAGCACATGGATACACTTTGGTAGAAGATTCAACTCCTGCAAATTTCTGATTGATCTAAAACTGTTCATAATAATTTGAAAGCACTCCACCATCATTTCAAAATAGCTAGTGGATGCTTCTCCCCAAAGACTTTCATGTATTTTTATGTTCTGTTGGATAAATGAAATATTATGATTTCTATTGTAACTTTTATAATATAACTAGTATATTATAGTATAACTATGATTTATGTTAGCAAAAAGTCAGCAGTCACAGGACTACTGGAGTAATTTTATATCATGTCAACATATTTTGGCAGTATATAAGTATAGGTTTTTTTTTGTTTGTTTGTTTTTTTTTTTTTATATATAATGAAAATTGGTTTATTATCTGGATAATCAAGTGTTTATTTAAAAAAAATACTTTTTTTATAATGCTGGCACCAGTCCATAAACATAATAATCATATATGTTTAATTTATATAGCGCCTTTCCCAAGCTCAAGGACACTGTACAAAAGCAGTAACACAATAGAAAGTCGATTCACATAATCATAAACAGTCATTTCACAATCAATGAATCAAATTAACATCAGCTTATAAAATGACTCAAAACTGTAAAAACATTATAAAATGCACAAGATGGGCCACATTTGATATACAAATACTGCAAGTTACTTGTCAATATAGAGTATGTCTAATAAACTATAATAGTTAGCAAAATAATTGTTTATTATGATTAATAGCAACAACAATTCCATCCATCCATCTTGTCACACCACATTTTTTTTTAAAAGCATAAAAAAGACTCACTCTGTATTGCTGGTGATAGGTGCAAAAATATGTGTACTGTGAAATGAACATAGCATAGCAGAATCTTAATCATTTCACAGGTTTCTTCTTCCACAGATGTACTATTTACCATCATATTGCTCGCCCCTACAGATTACAGTATCAGTACTTTTAAAAAGCTACAAGACTAATGACAGTCCTAAATTCTCTTGCCATTTGACCTCTGGAATGAGACCTTCTGAAATATGCTGTTATTTTTTTGAATGTCTGAATCTTCATATAATTATGCCTGACTGGGAATAGTACAAAGTACAAAGATCTTCAAAGTATGTTTCCCCGCATACTTTTTGGACTAATACAGCCCACAACCTTCTGCACTATTGCAGGGTATGTGGGTGTATCACGTGGTATCAAGATAATTTTGCATTGCAGTATTATTCCTTAAAGGAACAGTTCACCCAAAAATGAAAATTTGCTGAAAATGTACCCATCCAAAATGTACGAAGTTAAGCTTGTTGCTCACCAATGGATCCTCTGCAGCAAATGGGTGCCATCAGAATGAGAATACAAACAGGTGATAAAAACATCACAGTAATCCACATGACTCCAGTCCAGATGCTAAAAGCCGTGTGTTTGTAAGAACAAATTAATCATTAAGGTGTTTTAACTTCAAACCATTGCTTCTGGCCAAAATACGAGCTTCCTCCAGAGAAAAAGTCCAATCTCTGTTGTCCTCTCACATCAAAATCCACCAACATATTTGTTTAGAACTGTTTTGGACTTGTAAACGGTGCCTGATCTGTGCATATTTATCTCCTGATTCAAACAAGACTTTTTTTTACTGGAGAAAGCAACATTATGGATAGAGGACTTCAGCCGGAAGCAATGATTTAAAGTTTAAAAATGTCTTAATTATGGTTTTGTTTCAAACACACATCTTTCCACGTGCATTACTTGTGGATTATTGTGATGTTTTTATCAGCTGTTTGGACTCACATTCTGACGGCACCCATTCACTGCAATGGATCCATTAGTGAGCAAGTGATGTAATGCCAAATTTAGGTCCATGAAGAAACAAACTCATCTAAATCTTGGATGGCCTGAGGATGAGTACATTTCATTTTTGGGTGAACTATTTCTTTAAAACAAAAAAAATAAATTTGGATTTAGTTGTGCTTACCTGGAGACGCGGTGAGAGCCATCATCCCATACGAGGAGAAAGCTCCAGCTTCAAACTTCATTCCCTCTTTCCCTGCCTCCACCTCCACCTTCCCCTTAGAGAACAGATTACATTGAAAACCAGACGTTCAATATATCTAGGAACGGTTTTTAAGCAATTTCAAGTAGATACTGTTAATACTGACGGAGATTTTTGGTTTCAGTTTTTCCCTTTAGAAGGAAGGTTGTCTTTCGCAATACTCACTAAAATATTCTTCTTTCACATAGGGACATTAGTTGAAACGTTTCATACTGGGCGTGTTAAATACTTGCGAAAATCCCAGCTTGTTCTAGGCTAATAAGCTCAATCCCTTCTCTCTATGCCTTCTGCAGCCCTGGACCAAACAACCAAGCTGACCTGCAGAATGAGGATGAAATAGTCCACAGGCTTGTTGCGGTGGAAGAGGTAATGTTCGATGGCCTTCTTATTCTTCTCATTATATTTGAGCTCCTGGATGACGTTGGGGTGCTTGAGGAGACGTAGAAGGATCTTCTCAGACATCTGGCTTGGACTAAATGCTTCTACTTCTGTAAAGCAAAAGGAGACATGATCATCATCTTCGTGTTCCTGTGGGTTGTTTGCACTTGAAAATGTTAACTCAGGGCCATTTTAAGGTAATATTGCATTTCCTGGTTTCAAAAGATCACACGGTATATTAGTAAACCTTGTGATAATGACATTCTAGCATTTTTTTGGACAAATAGTAAGTTTCAATAACTGCTTATCCATCTGTGAAAAGATTGCCTTGTGAATCTTCTCTGACTGTTTTAAGTCTTCTAAAACATACAAACCAAACAAATTTTTTTTAACTCCATTTAATGTCTTCAATTGTGTGCATGAACGTTTCTGTGAATATTTAATGACGTATGCAGTGTTTTGTCCATTATGATGGTTGTCTGTTGCTAAATAACTCTTTGTAACATTGTTCTGTTTACAAGTATCTGTGTAATCTGGCAGCTGGTCCCTCCTTGACCAGGAAACACTAATAATATTGTATTTGTTAATCAATGATTAGCGTAAGCCACAACAGGAAAGTTCTCACCAAATCCTGGTATTAGGTTTAAAGGGGAACTCCAGTCAGAATATGTTTGGCATGCCCTTTTTGTCTCTATTATACACAACCACCCTTGGGACCTTTTAACAGTGGCTTGATCGTCAGTAAAGCAAAGGGAAATGACTTGTAGGAGGTTGTGCCAAATGCCTGAACATGCCAGCAGTTATACAAAAATATAATGTGCATTACCATTCATAAGTTTTCGCCTATGCTCTTCAAGTCTGCATTTATTTGATACAAAATACAGTAAAAACATTATCAATGTTGAAAACAGTTGTGCTGCTTCATAATTTTTGTAGAAATCGTAGACAGACAGACAGACAGACAGACAGACAGACAGATAGATAGACAGACAGACAGACAGACAGACAGACAGACAGACAGACAGACAGACAGACAGACAGACAGACAGACAGACAGACAGACAGACAGACAGACAGACAGACAGACAGAGATGATAGAACGATAGATAGATAGATAGATAGATAGATAGATAGTATTAATGTCTAATGTAAACTGGCTTTCAGAATATCAGATTTGGGTCTGTTGCAAGGTAATAATTGTATTTACTTTTTTATTAAAAATTATGAATTTTATTTGAAAAAAGTTTTATGAAACGCGTACACTATGAAACAAAATGTGGTAGTTAGAGAGAATAAGAGAAAAAAAGAACAGCTGAGATTTACCTATATATATATATATATATATATATATAATAAAAAAGTAATACTTTTATTTCGTAAAGATACATTAAACTGATCAAAAGTGACAGTAAAGACATTTAAAAATTTACAAAATATTTATATTTTCAAATAAATATTTTTAAAACTGCTTCCGGTTCCAAGCGCTCCATCAGATGACACAAGAAAGCAATAAACATTGCTAATATACATTTATAACGGTGCTAATATACATATTTTGAAATGCTAATAAATAATAATAATAGTGCTCATAATGAATAAATAGTGCTCATAAATGGCTGTTAGATAGTATTCTCAAGTGAAACAATTAGAGTCTTGGACCCAGAAACAAAGTTTCTTATATCCTGATTTAACAAGCGGATAATAAGAAAAGTTTATTGAGCAGCAAATCAGCATATTAGAATGATTTCTGAAGGATCATGTGACACTGAAGACTGGAGTGATGATGCTGAAAATTCAGCTTTGCACCGCAGGAATAAATAAAATTTTTACCATAGATTACAATAGAAACACTTCTTTAAAATTGTAATAATATTTTTCAGTATCACTGTTTTTACTGTATTTCTACTGTATAAATGCAGCCTTGGTGAGCAGAAGAGACTTCTTTCTAAAACATTACAAAATCTTACCAACCCTAAACTTTTGAACTGTAGTGTATGTTATTTATCTAATATGATATTTCATGTTTAATCAAATTGTTTCCACAGCCTGGTTTTAAAAAATATATATATATCTGTCAAAGCAGTACAGCGACATAACCTTTGACAGCACAGCAGAAAACCATAACAACAATCCTACTGTGGCTTCTACACAAAATCGTTTTCCTTTCTTAGAGAAACACACATTATGAAACCGAAAAGTGAAAGAGAAAGCTCTCTTGCCAGTGTCAAAGATGTTTTTAATTCTTTCTCTTAGCTGTTTGCTCAAAGGCATTCTTTTATACGCTAACCCAAACAAGCTGCTCCTCTCTAAATGCAAAACCTTAGAATGCAAAAAAACAAAAAAACAAACATCAACATCATGGCACGACTTTCACCAAAACCCAGAGGCCAAGCTCCTCCTCTTTGTGAGCAGCCTGACCATACTACAGTCACAGGACACACTGGGGTAAATCAAGCAGCAATGCAGTACACTTGCCTGTTGCTAGGAAACGTAGAGTAGCCAGTAGAAGCTGAGGTGATATTTTAACCTTCATTTCATTGTCCATGTGCTTGAAAGCCGAGAAATCCTGCTTCCTCTCTCGATGGGTGATTTTCTTTTTTGTTTTGTTGTCGGCTGTTGGAAAAGTGGGATGACGGAAAGAAAGCTCAATGCTGTGTAAAACGCCTTTCCTCGTATATTTGCAAATGTATATTTACAACGATACCTAAAGAAGTGAAATTTAAATGTGAAAGCTAAAATAAATGTCACGACTTAAAACCATGCCATAGTAAGAGACTGGGGAAATTGTGAGGTAGTTTAACATTAACATGAGTTATTGTATAACTCATTCATAGGACATTAGACACTTCATTTTACAATGTACTTTTTAAGCTGCTTTGTAAAGAAAACACAAGACTTTCATGGCACATACTGTATAAGTCTGTCTCATCCAGGATTTCAGACTTGATGATTTCTTCAATGACGTCCTCTAGGGTGACAATGCCAAGCACTTCATAGAACGGGTCGCCTTCTCCTTCGTTGTTAACCCGCTGGACTATTGCCAGGTGAGATTTACCTAGGAAGTAACAGAGTTGTTTAGATGTCGGTTTAGACGCAAATCACTCTTGTTTTAAAGATGTAAACTGTTTACATATTAAAAAAAAATATTTACACTTACACAATGTCATACATGACATATATTGCCCTATATTAATAGTGATCTTGCCTTATATGTTACTAAGGCAATATATAATTTTCTTATACTTAAAATAAAATATTATAATTCTCTGCGTAGATGAAGATTTAAGTTTATAACATATACCAAATCCCCCATTAAAATATGTATATGTGCATATGTTAATATTTATATGATTTTTATATGGTATTGTTTGTGGCAACCATACATGTCAACGATATATATGTTATTTATATATGCAACTTTGTTTAAACAGCTTATATACACAAATCTGTTTTGTAATTTACATTTTTTTAATACACGTCTATCTTTTATATTTCCTTATATAACATTTAGGGTGGATATGCATGTACATGATATATATGTCCAAAATGTACATTTTTACTTCATATGACAACATATTTCATATACTGTATGGATATATGTTTCATTTGTGCATGGGTAAAAAGGAATATTTACACATGTGAAATGTGTTTTCTAACTGTATCGAAAGGTAATCAAGCTTAAAGGTATGGTTAAAGGTACTGAAAAATAAAAATTGTCATAATTTACTCTTACCCACTTCATGTCATTTCAAACCTGCGTGACTTTATTTTCTGTTCAGAACACAAAATAACACTGGACCTAATTTCCTTTCCAAACGCTGAGGTATTTTATTGAGTTCCACAGAAGAAAGTCAATCAAACAGGTTTGGAACAACATGAGAGGGAGTCAATGATGCAACCCTCTACGCACACCTTGGCAATATAATCGCCATTGGCTAGTATTCGATTGTTTTTATATACAGATAGTTATACATTTTTAACCTAACCCACCCCTACCCCTAACCCTACCCCTCACAGAAAACTTTCTGCATTTTTACAATTTCAAAAGTAAAAAAAAAAACTTTGTTTACTTTATTTTTATAACAGTTTTACAAATGAGGACATCCACAAATTGAGGTTTTTGCCGATTTTGTCAGGTTTTGCTCACTTTTGGGTACAAATTTGTCCCCAAAATATGGTTAAGTAGGTACACACACACACACACACTATGCAGTCAATCCGTTTTGCAGTTCTTTAAACTGTTGTTTTCGCTTGCAAATCACTGTTCACAGGCTTGCAGTGCTTTTGACCGTCTTTTGGCAAAAAAAACGTGCCAAAAGCGTAAGCGCGGAAAAATGGAAGTCAGAAGCATGCAGATCATATTTATTTTGCGTTAGCATGAAGCTGCAGTTTCACAATACATGAATTACACTTACGAGTAACAGTAAAATGCTGCAAATATTTTTTTATTGCGCTTGAAACACGATTTACACCTTTACAAAGCTTCTCTTGCGCATGCAAATTTAATTTACGCTTACAGTGTTATGTACACTTCCACAAATATTACCCTGCGTATGCAAATCTTTTTGACGTCATTCTACCTTCATAGTCCATGACATGATCCATTGAGCGCATCAAAATAGTACAGATCGCTTGACGGAGAGCGAAACTCTCAAGCGCTCAGTCAGCGTGTTTATCGAGTGAAAATCTGTGTTGAACGCCTCTCACACACATACTGGCGTGTAAAATCTAAGAATTTATTAGCCAATGGCTAATGTTAGACATTATTTAGTCGCCCAGAGTAAGATTTAGTCGCATATGCGAGTGATTTACTCGCAATGTAGAGGGTTGTGATGACAGACTTCTCATTTTTGGCCACACGCACAGATCCTACAGTGTGTAACGGCTATAAATCCTACTGTGGTTTCTACACCAGATCCTAACCAATCCTACACTTACTAGTTATTTCATTACACTCTGTACCTGTACAATCAACACTCTAAAGTGTCTCAGAGCGTCTCTGGCATGAAATTACTAAGTTCAAAAGTCTGACCCTGTTTCCCAAAACACTGAAGTGTTTTGTCTTTGATATTGAAGGTCTAGAGTAACTGGGTTCAGTCTCAAAACTATTGTGTCTTTGAACAAAAGTAGTCCAGTCTTGGTGAGAAATATCCACTGGAGTGGACAAACATGTCATAAGCCTTGTGCTCTTTTAAAAAGACTTTCGAAGAAGGATGGAACAAGCTCCTGTTTCTCATAATTGGTGTTTACTTCAACTAAATAAACACTGAAAGCCTGTAAAAGGACATGGGTGAAGCTTTAATACATATCCCAAAGACAAAAGCCCAAACTCTTTTTGTGTATACCGTCAAGCAAAACACCCAATAAATTCTTTGCCTTTTCTCAGCTTGTGAACTTTTAGAAGGAATTTTCCAGAGAGCCAGGCTAATATTAGCCCTGAAATTAAGTTTCCATTCCACTTGGGCGATATTCTCACCAAAGCGACTGCTGGGTGATCTGATCTGTCTCAGAGCTGGTCGTTTACATGCAGATGGCCATTTGCTGAAATACTAGGAAGCCTGGGACGCACTTGTGGCAAACCCCATGACAACACACAAACAATGATTGGGTATAAATCTCTGCTTAAGGAGTGTGGCATTAACTTGAGTGTGTGTATCTTCTTTTCCTTATTTTGCCTCTACAATGGCTTCAGTGAACATGAAGCATGTAGCATGGGAAAAGTGTACTTTATGTTTGCAATGTTATATTTTTTTACATCACCAAAGTTTGGAATTAATTATATTATTAAAAATAAATGCAGTGTCTTATCCCATAAGGAAATTTAACATATGGCATATACCATAGAACAACATATTTTTCACACAAGTACATTATCAGATAAAGATGTAAGTTTATAACGTATCTCCCCTTAGTAAATTAAATTTGTATATGTACATATGTTAATAAAATCGATATGATGATATTTGTATGGTATTATATGTGGCAACCATTTGTCAACATTTATCTATATATTATGCAATATACATGACATATATGTCCAAAAATGCAAAAAATACATAAACATACATATTTGTAAGGACCAGTGTTGGGGGTAACTCATTACAAGTAACGCGAGTTACGTAATCAGATTACTTTTTTTCAAGTAACTAGTAAAGTAACGCATTACTTTTTAATTTACAAGAGAATATCTGAGTTCCTTTTTCAAATAAGTAACGCAAGTTACTTTTTTTTTTCCAATTTATTGATTGACAGCTCTCCTGTCCCCATGTTGAGAGAAATCAGATGTCACTGTAGTTCTAAAATAAATATGAATATGCATTAATTCATCTCACTCACAAAAAAAACAGATTCAGTATTCCTCAAAATGAATAAAAATAATGCAACTCAGAATATGACGCAAACCTGCAATAATTAAATGTTAAACAACACAAATATCCTTTATGTATTTAATCCCATTCTATTAACCAATGTCTTTGCTTCTGACCTTCGATGATCCAGTTCAACCGTACTAATAAGCA